AGGAGGGTCAGGGCACAACAGGGAGGCAAGATCAAATCAGTATCTTAGATGCCTATATACAAATGCGAGAAGTATGGGTAATAAGCAGGAAGAACTGGAATTGCTAACCAATAAATACAACTATGATATCATTGGTATTACAGAAACCTGGTGGGATGGGACACATGATTGGAATGTTGGTATGGAAGGGTACGGCTTGCTCAGGAAGGACAGACAGGGAAAAAAGGGAGGAGGGGTTGCCTTGTATATTAAAAATGTACACACTTGGACTGAAGTGGAGATGAACGTAGGAGATAGCTGTGTAGAGAGTCTCTGGGTTAAGCTAAAAGGGGTAAAAAACGAGGGTGATATCATGCTAGGAGTCTACTACAGGCCACCTAGCCAGGTGGAAGAGGTGGATGAGGCCTTTTTTAAACAATTAACAAAACTATCCAAAGCCCAAGATTTGGTGGTGATGGGGGACTTCAACTATCCAGACATATGTTGGGAAACTAACACAGCGAGGCACAGGCTATCCAATAAGTTTCTGGACTGCATTGGAGACAACTTTCTGTTTCAGAAGGTTGAAAAAGCTACCAGAGGAGAAGCTGTTCTGGATTTGGTTTTAACAAATAGGGAGGAACTAGTTGAGAACTTGAAAGTGGAAGACAGTATAGGGGACAGTGATCACGAAATAATAGAGTTCATGATCTTAAGGAAAGGTAGAAGGGAGACCAGCACAATTGAGGTAATGGATTTCAGGAAGGCAGATTTTGATAAGCTCAGAGAACTTGTAGGTAAGGTCCCATGGGAAGCAAGACTGAAGGGAAAAACAACTGAGGAGAGTTGGAAGTATTTCAAAGGGACGTTGTTAAGGGCCCAAAAGCAAACAATTCCGCTGTGTAGGAAAGATAGAAAATATGGCAAAAGACCAGCTTGGCTTAACAAGGAGATCTTGCATGATCTCAAAATAAAAAAGGAGTCATATAAAAAATGGAAACTAGGACAACTAACAAAGGATGAATATAGGCAAGCAACACGGGAATGCAGGGGCAAGATTAGAAAGGCAAAGGCACAAAATGAGATCAAACTAGCTACAGGCATAAAGGGAAACAAGAAGACCTTTTATAAATACATTAAAAGCAAGAGGAAGACCAAGGACAGGGTAGGCCCACTGCTTAGCGAGGAGGGAGAAGCAGTAACAGGGAACTTGGAAATGGCGGAGATGCTCAATGACTTCTTTGTTTCGGTCTTCACCGAGAAGTCTGGAGGTGTGCCTAACGTAGTGAATACAAGCAGAGAGAGGGTAAGTTTAGAAGATAGGATACACAAAGAACAAGTTAAAAATCACTTAGGAAAGTTAGATGTCAGCAAGTCACCAGGTCCTGATGAAATGCATCCCAGGATACTCAAGGAGCTGATAGAGGAGGTATCTGAGCCTTTAGCTATGATCTTTGAAAAATCATGGCAGACAGGGGAGATTCCAGAAGACTGGAAAAGGGCAAATATTGTGCCCATCTATAAAAAGGGGAATAAGAACAACCCAGGAAACTACAGACCGGTCAGTTTAACGTCTGTCCCAGGGAAGATAATGGAGCAGGTAATTAAGGAAATCATATGCAAACACTTGGAAGGTAATAAAGTGATAGGGAATAGCCAGCATGGGTTTGTGAAGAACAAGTCATGCCAAACTAATCTGATAGCTTTCTTTGATAAGATAACGAGCCTTGTGGATAAGGGAGAAGCGGTGGATGTCATATACCTAGACTTTAGTAAGGCATTTGATACGGTCTCGCATGATATTCTTATTGATAAACTAGGCAAATATAACTTAGATAGGGCCACGATAAGGTGGGTGCATAATTGGCTGGATAACCGTAGTCAGAGAGTTGTTGTTAACGGTTCTAAATCCTGCTGGAAAGGGATAACAAGTGGAGTTCCTCAAGGGTCTGTTTTGGGACCCATACTGTTCAACATCTTCATCAATGATGTAGATATTGGGATAGAGAGTACGCTTATTAAGTTTGCAGATGATACCAAACTGGGTGGGGTTGCAACTTCTTTGGAGGATAGGGACATAATTCAAAATGACCTTAGCAAGTTAGAGAAATGGTCAGAGGTAAACAGGATGAGGTTTAATAAAGAGAAATGCAAAGTGCTCCACTTAGGAAGGAACAATCAGTTCCATACATACAAGATGGGAAGCGACTGTCTAGGAAGGAGCATGGCAGAAAGGGATCTAGGGGTCATAGTGGACCACAAGTTGAATATGAGTCAACAGTGTGATGCTGTTGCAAAAAAAGCAAATATGATTCTAGGTTGTATCAACAGGTGTGTTGTAAGCAAAACTCGTGAAGTCATTCTGCCGCTCTACTCTGCACTAGTTAGGCCTCAGCTGGAGTACTGTGTCCAGTTCTGGGCGCCACATTTCAAGAAAGATGTGGAGAAATTGGAAAGGGTACAGAGAAGAGCAACAAGAATGATTAAAGGTTTAGAGAACATGACCTATGAAGCCAGGCTTCATGAACTGGGCTTGTTTAGTTTGGAAAAAAGAAGATTAAGGGGGGACATGATAGCGGTTTTCAAATATCTAAAAGGGTGTCACAAGGAGGAAGGAGAAAATTTGTTCCTCTTGGTTTCTGAGGACAGGACAAGGAGTAATGGGCTTAAAGTGCAGCAGGGGAGGTTTAGATTGGACATTAGGAAAAAATTCCTAACTGTCAGGGTGGTCAAATATTGGAATAAATTGCCAAGGGAGGTGGTGGAATCTCCCTCTCTGGAGATATTTAAGAACAGGTTAGATAGACATCTGTCAGGGATGGTGTAGACGGAGCTTGATCCTGCCTTGAGGGCGGGGGGCTGGACTCGATGACCTCTCGAGGTCCCTTCCAGTCCTATTATTCTATGATTCTATGATTCTATGCATAGGACTCTGCACTTCATTTCTGTGAGAAAGAAAAGGAGAGGTACAGCCTGAAAAAGTAATAGAACAATAAAGCAAAAGAGGGGGAGGAGGTGCAGCAAACAACCCAAAAAAATAGTCACAGACACAACTCAGATCTGTTCCCTTCAGGCACAGTGTGATTCACATGACCAAAGTAACATTATCCTATTCTACTGTTTGAGGTATATACCAACTCTCTTTCATTATTACTTTTCAAAAGAAGGCTTAAGTGTATCACCTCTTGCTGGACAAATACACTACAGGTTGCACCTCCCTTAACTGGGACTCCTTGGTCTGGCAACATCCATAGTCTGGCATGGCAGAGAGTTCTGGCCCCAGGGGAGCTCTCTGGACAGAGCTCCACAGCCACGTGGCTCCACATCTGGGTCAGAGCTCTGCAGTCACCTGGCTCCACAGCTGGTGCTGGAGCTCTGTGCCTCGGGGGGGAAGAGATGGGGCTGGAGATCCACAGCCTGGGCCTGAGCTCCCTGGCTGCTAGAGCCAGAACATGACCAGAGCTTAGTGGCCCAGGATGGGGACAGAGCTCCCTGGCTGCTGCTCAGATTGGAGCTTCCTGGCTGGGACTAGAGGTCCATGGCTGGGGCCAGGATAGAGCTCCCCAGCCGCTGGGGTCAGGGAGCTCTGCTGGGCACAGAACTCCCCACCATGCTGTCCATGCCCCACCCTGCTCACACACACTCTGGACTCCCAGCTGAGTTGCCAGTGCCCCTTATAGCGCTCCTGCCCCTGCTGCCAGAACTCCCTCTTTCTGGGCTCTGTGGTCCAGGAACATGCATGGTCCATGCTGGACTAGGGATGTTGCCGGACCAGAGAGTCCAGTTAAGGGAGTATGTGTGTTGGATAGTTCTCTGTGGTGCCTCTGGATAATAAAGATTAGAATAAAGGTTTTACCCCATCTCTTGTTTTGTAACCACTTAGCGCATGTTGTAGAGCAGCTAGTCAAGATACTTTGTGAGTCACTGAACCATTAATTCACCTTTCTTGAGAGAAGTGGGATGAGTTGAAGATTTCAGGGGAAAAAAAGGGAACTACCAACATTATCAACATGTGCAATGCCACACACTGTGATGTATCTGTTCTTCCATAATCAATATGTTTATTTCCACAAACCTCTCCCAGGAGCTGCTTTTAAAAAATTGGTGAGAAGGACATAGTGTGCAGATCCTGAATGGTAGCGCCCTTCCTCATTGCAAGAGAGCCAGGAGGCAACGTTTTTGTTCATAAGTTCATGAGAGCTTTGAGTATTAGGGAATGGTTCTGTTGATTTATAGTGTCAAATGCTATCAATTTCTCAGGTAACACCAGCTTCTGCTTATATTGGAAGTTAATACAACCACCTTTTCCCTCCAAAATACCACCACCGAACAAGCATGGAAGAAAATGAACAACATATGGAACCAGACATGGGACATTACCACTGGATCATCTGCTTTTTATGGCATCCCATCTCATATCCTTATGGAGCAAGGACTTTGTCTTTATATCTGTCTGCAAAGCACTTAGCATATTTTGTGTCCTATAAATGAATAAAGACAATACTAATGAAAGCTTACAGGCACAGCTGGTCAGACCCTGCCCAAATATCACACATTTGTGTGATGGGTCCTGTGCACTACTCCAGATGAGTAAAGAAATCCTAGCAGTAAAATATGTTCTGATAATTTCAGTGTGGCAGAGGGGCAAGTTTCCCAGGAGGTTTTGGTTAAAGGAAATTGTACAGTAGTATATTCTAGCTGACTGTGTGCATCACAACATGGCTTAATGCTCATATGGGGATTTAATTGAATAGGAAAACAATAGAATCCAATAGAGAATCAAGAGACGAAGCTCTCTCTCCAGCTCCTGAATTGGCCTCTTTAGGGGAATTGTCTGAGGCTTGAGGGGAGCTGCAGTGTGGATACAAAGACGTGTTACTCTTAGCAACTTTCTTACACTGATAATTTGATTTTCTGTAGCCATCTTTGCTGAATAGCAGCTTTTATTCAGTGCATAAAATGTGTGTATAAAAACCTTAATATTATTATGATGTTAATTTTAACAGATTGTATTGCTAACCTTTCCTTTAGCATTTGTACATTAAAATAGGAACAACCATAAAGCAAGGCTGGGTCTCAGGTGAAATATTACAAGAAAAGGTTTTAATTTTAAGTTATTTTGATTTAATTTATTTGGTTTGTGCAGAATAAGTAGTCCATAATTTTAAAATGACATTGACATACATCTGAGGCAAGACACTATGAGACAGCAATCCATTAAAAAGGCTACAAAAAACTGTAGTGACGTTGTCTATTTGTCTCTTCTCTAATTCATCTTTCACATTTAGTCATTCATCTGTACCACATCTCAAGTCATTAAGGATAATAATTTCTAACTGCTTCATGATCCATGTTTTTTTTTACTGCAAAATGCACAAAAGTAATTAAGCCAAATTGAAACAATTATAGAAAAACAATATTCAATAACTGAGTTGCCAAAAAGTTTTACTGTACCCTAAGGATGCAAAAAATTGCCTGTGCAGCAGTAATATTATTCCACAATACATTTATTTCTGCAAGCTAGTCAAGCTCAAATTAATTGTACTGACTAAACTTTTCTTCTCAGAGAAAATTAAAGATATGCTGTTGTCAACACTTGAGCACAACCTTGCCGACACTTAAACGCAGAGAAGGGTGTGACATCCTGCCCTGGCTGCCTTGTGCTAATTAATCACTCTGGTATTTAGGACCATTCAGGCAGACAAATTAATGGAGAATAATTAGTGTATCTTTGTTCCAGCTCAGCTTTGCACACCAGATACTCTCAGGGAGAAAGGGGAGTTTGTAGAAAGTGAGCTATTAGCATGCGCATAGTTGCGCTTCTGTTCAGCAAGTTCTGCAGAGATTAAGAGAAAAGCCAAATTAGCAGTCGTGTGACTGGGGTTAGGACATCTTTCTGAAAAGAAAGCCCTCTGTTTGGGTATCAGCTTCTAGAAGCGAGTTGTTAATCCAGACGTTAGTTTTTACAAAGCACGAAACACAATTACAAGCCTCCTTTTCTCCCCACTCCTCTTCCACATACACACCAAACAAAGAGGAATATGAAAGAAAAAAAAATCAAGAATTGCTCCTTTACATTTAAATGATTTATTTAAATTCGACCATCCTTTGTACTAGTATATGGCCATGAGAGCCTTCTAAACATTAACCTTCCCTTTTCAGGTCACTTAAAGGGCTTCACTAAATTTGACAGGGAAAACAGGACAGAATATGATAGACCATATTAACAATCTGATTACTTTAATCATCAACAACATTTACTAGTATTTTACTCAATCCCTTTGTGTAAATGAAATATTGTTGTTCCAAACAGAAATCATAGATTTCAGCACATTTAAATTAATTGCAAACATAAACTCCAATTAAAATTTTGTAGTAGTCCAAAGCATGAATAAGTGAATGTAATAGTTACTAAACTATTTACATTTCCCAAAGATATTGCAAATATCCTGATTTAATTGTATGTCTTTTAGACATTTTTTGGCACTAATTCTCCTGTTATTTGCTCTCCTAGGATCCAATCCTGCAGGGATCCAACACATCTTGAAAAGGTGTTGTACATTGCAAACACAGATTGACAATATTTAATAATTTGTAGGATCAGACCTATTAAAAAAGATACTGGTCATCTTTTTTTGTATCAGTGCAAATAGATGGCTCGTGCAATACCCTTGTGATAGTTAGGAAGGCCCTATTTCTATGCTAGGGTACCTGTCTGAGAACCAGGGTCCACCCACATCAGGGCCTTAAGCCCTATTTCTGAACTCAATCATTTGGGGAAAGTTGAAATAGAACTTTGCTGCAGAGCTCCAGTCTTCTAGATACAGACTGCAAGCACTGGTGTTTCACACACCAGAGCATCTCTCTGTATATGTGGCAGAAGAGAGAGGGTAGAAGCATGGAAAAAGAGTCAGGGAAAAAAAGGAGGACGACCACACAGTGAGAAAATCTGACCACACTCAGGGAAATTGTATCAATCCTATAAAAGAACAAAATCATTTTAAAGGAATATAATTACATGCAGACTATAAAGCTGAGCTTTTTTTCATTCTTGATTATATCATATTGCATAAACAGAATTTTTCACACCTGGGGTTTGACATGATACAGGATATTGTTTTAACACACTGGGCTGCAAGGCTTCATAGAAATGTGATATTACTGTGCACACTGTTTTTGGATTTAATCTAGTGTGTGTTGGGTGGGGGGGGCACTACAAAAGCACACATTCTTTCAATTCCTCACTGACCTTAAAAATAGACTGAATCTCTACAGCCTCCTACAATACTAAATTACTGTCTGAGATAAAACCAGATGCCATTAGAAAGGCTACCATCCTGGGAGTAGGGCCTCCTAGATCTTTGAAGGTGCATAATCCTCATTAAAGAAAAACCCTGAGCGTAGGAGGGGCTGCGCTGACATCAAGGCACCTGGCCATGACTAAAAGAGCTGGCCCCATATGCGGCTGCTGCTGAGCAGCAGAATGTAATTTAGTCGCACCAGCAGGAGCAGAGGTCAATGATTTTATATTAATGGGGATCACGACAGTTCTAAGCTGTGGCGTGCTTTGAAATAAGTGTTGTACAAGGCAGCAAAGAGAGCTCAGCAGAGGAAATGAGCTGTGTTATTGTCTCCTCATGCCTTGCAGCAAACACTGGAATGTTTAAAGTTGCCATAGACTTAAAGCTGTAATATTTTATAAACAACTATTGCCTACTTCAGTCTAACATGCCTGTAAATTAATATTTCTTCTGCAGATGATATTGCGGATCCCAAATACAATACACTCATTTTTAACAAAAATGGAGGAAACATGATAGACTAACAGAAATCAACTCTTGTAATTAATAATTTGTGTGCAAGGAAGATGATCATGTATGACAAGAAATTGCTATGTATCAATGAACAAGCTACATCAATATTACCTTACAAATTACAACAAAACAACAAAAGTATTTCAGCAGGCAAAAAGATCTATGTTTTCATTAAAAAAATGTTCCAGTGTTTTAATATATTCGAATCAGAACTTGAACTAAATTCACATTTAATCAAACTTCTTTGTGGAAATGCAATATGATCCCTCTGTGGTGTTTTGTCTGTTTTAAATTTGGAATTTCATATGAACACATGACACAGCCGTCCTTTACATGGCTCAATACCTAACCCAAGGGATATCTGAAGTTCTGAATTAGGTTTTCTAGGTAAGGATTATTATTATTGTAGTTATTTGTATTCCACTAGCCCTGGTCAAGTGTGGAGTGCTGTCCCAATATATATGAAGGTGGCAGTCCCTGAAACAGAGCTTTCAGTCTGAGAAGACAAGCAATATAAAAAGGGTGGGGTAGCACAATATAACATAGCACACATTTTCACTCCCTAAATAAATTATCAGCAATCTTCAAATTACCCTTTTAACCAGAGCCATCCTGTTGATATCCTATGGATGGGAGGGACCTGAGGGATTATGGGGGCCTGTTGCAGCAACAGCAGGGGCCACTTCCTTCCCCCTCCCCCACTCACCATGCTGGCAGCAGGAGCTGGAGTGGCCCAGCAGCCTGATCCACCCCCACAGTGCCACCCTCTTGCTGGCCCACTGCACATCGCTTCTTAGCAGCAGAAAAGAGAGGTACAGCATGTTGGGAGGGTGGCATGGCGTGACGGAGCAGGTTGCTGGGCCACTCAGGCTCCCACTGCCCCCTTGGTGATTGAGAGGAAGGCAACCCTCTTGCTGCTGCCACACTAAGCCACCATAATCCCCAGGCTGCATTGCTTGGGGGAGGAAGTAAGGAGGCAGGGTGGAGTGAGGACGGGGCTTGGGGAGGGGTTGAGTGAGGGCAGGGAGGAGCAGGGCCTGCAGTGGCATGGTGGGGAGGGGTTGCCCCAGGCCCACACCCTCCTTGAGATGGCCCTGCTTTTAACTCAGGTAGTACTAGTTAGCTAATAAGGGAAATGGGTTTTTGACAGTGGTGGACAGTTGTGGCCTTGAACATCAGTTCAGAGAGGGTGTTCCATGCCTTAGGGGAGCATAAAAGAGTATTCAGAAATGGTTGAGAACAAGCAGCAGGGAGTGAGAGGGAGGCAGGATTGTGACAGGATGTATAAAACCCACACTGGTAACAAAAGAGTTAAAGAGCCACTGAGGGCAAGGTTGAGTCCTATCAGTCATGCTAGGAGTGGAATAGACATTTAAAAGCAGGAAGTTCCAGTCAGTTGCTGGGTAGGTCTGGGAGAGAGCAGACAATAGTTCTACAGAGGCCAAAAGGGAACTTTGTAGAATCTGCCCTCCAGGAGGATACTCATCAATTCCACAAGGCAATAGGTTCTCATTTACTGGACATTCAGGTTAGGTTCAGTGTTTGGTACTGAACTCTCCAGCCATTGAGGGGGTTGAGAGTCTGAAAGGAAAGCCCCCATACTCTCCAAATGCAAGCAGATTCTGTTGACTAAGACTTCAGGGGCTCTGAAGTCCTCAGACAGCAGGAGTCACCCATCACTTTCTTGAGCATTATCATAGTGAAAGAAGATACAAGATCTAATAAGCAGGAAGGGTTGTGACCTTGAATATGAGGATGAGAAACTTCAAATTAATCAGCAGATAGAAAAGGCAGAATTCATGGAGAAATTCAGTGGGGACGATGTCATGGATAGAATGACAGACAAAAGAAGATGAATTCAGCAGCTATGTTTTGAGCGGGCTGTGTCAAGGAGATGAATGACTGAAAGGTCAGAGAGGAGGATATTGCAAAAGTTAAAGTGAGAGAAATAGGCTTGAACAAAACTTTTAACTAAGTGGTCAAAAAGAAAAGTCAGATCTTAAACATTAGGGATGAAAGCAGCAGCAAGGTGTAGATGTGACCTGGGTATGTGGGGTAAGAGTGGTGGTCGTAGGTGATAACTGCTGAGTGACATGGAGGATGGTGGTATTGTTATCAGTGACAAGAGGAATGAAAAGATTCTCAGAGGTAATAAAGAGTTGAGTTTTGGATGTAATAAATACAATTTGATGATGAGACAACCAGGATGATATGCCCAAGAGACAGCCTAAGAAGTGGGATTATATGGAAGATGACAAGTATAGGGGCAGTAGGAAGGGGTTTATACGATGTGTGTGGAGAAATACTGGTATTTGATCAAGAGTAGAGAAGACCTATAGGAGGAGAGAACACATTTGTAGAAAAGGAACTTTGCCTGGTTATGGGATTTTTTCCAGCCATGTTAAGCAGCAGGACTAGTGGAAAAGAAGCAAAGAAAGAGATGCAGTCCAGTGACAAACATAGTTCAATCAGAGCCAGCAACTCTTGTGTCCCAATCCAAATCCTCTAAAATCATCTCCTTCTGGGGTCCTGACAAATAAGTACATTTC